TTCTCCCATGATTGTTCTCTCAAGGGCATGTGTCCACTTGAGGTAAATGTTCAACTCACATACCTGTACTTTGCTTGGCTGGAAACCACAGGTGTGGTCTCAATTCCAGACCTGAAGGGTAGCTAGGGGCCATAGTCTCAGTGGTTCCACCAGGCTCTATTGGACCAGCAAACCTGGTCCCAACCATCCCCCCCCTCTTTTTTTTTTCTCCCTGTGGAGCACAGTCTTACTCACAAATATGCCATTGCCATGAGTCAGAATTAATTGGAAGGGAAACAGGTTTGCTTGTTTGTCTTAAATAATACGAGCACTATTGATTTAACTAAGGAGTTCTGGTAGCGCAGTGCCTAAGGCATCTAACTGCTAACCAGAAGGCTGGTGGTTCAGACCCACCAGTCACTCCTTGGAAGGAAGTTTGGGCAATTGATGTCTGTAGTGATATCACCTCGGAAATCCAAGGAGGGGTCGCTATGAGTCAGATCCGACTCAATGGCAGTGCGATTGATTTAACTAAAGAGCTCTGATGGTCCAGTGCCTAAGGCATCTGACTGCTAATCAGAAGGGTGCAGTTCAAACCCACTAGCTACTGTGCTGAAGGAAGGTGGGGCAATCTACCTCCATAAGGATTTACTGCTTTGGAGTGGGGTTGCTATGAGTCAGAATTGATTCAATGGCAGTGAGTTTGGTTTATTGATTTAACTGGATTTATTTAACTGTTTATTGGTTTATTGATTTAACTGAATTCCCTGGGTGGTGCAAATTAACACGCTCATCTGCTCACTAAAAGATTAGAGGTTTATGTCCCCCAGAGACACCTCAGAAGAAAGTCCTGGGGATCTACTTCCAGAAATCCAACTGTTGAGAACCCTGGGGAGACGGCTCTCCTCGGACACACAGGGGTCCCCGTGTTCAGCTGTTGAAAACCCTGTGGAGACGGTTCTCCTCAGGCACACAGGTCCCTGTGAGTCAGAACTGACTCAACAGCAGTTAAGATACGCAGTTCTCAGTATTCACAAACCCCGTATTTGTTAATTTACCTACTTGTTAAAATTTATTTGTAACCCCAAAATGTCTACTAGCTGCTCTTTTGGAGACATGCACAAAGCAGCTTATGTTCCCAACTAATGTCCAGCAAGGCTGGTTCTGGTTCTGGATTCATTGTCTGTGGGTACATTATTGACCATAACTACCTCCAGTAGGGAGAATTGACTGTAACTATTTTGGGAAAATGAGCGTAGGAGAGTGGATGTAGTGAGTTCATTCCTCAGCTATCCTAATAAGGAAAAAAGTTAATAAAGCACACACCAAGACATTCACCAACATAAGTTCCAATTCGTTTTGTCTCTAAAATTACTCTTGGTCTTTTTCCTTTTCTTTTTTAATTATGGTTTAAATGAAAGTTTATGGAGCAAATTAGTTTTCCATTCAATAATTTACACACTTCTTGTGTCGTGACATTGTTTGCGATCCCCTCACTCTAGCAGCAATCTTCCAGCTTTCTCCCTGAATCCCCCCGTTTCCATTCATCCTTATTTCCTGTCTCTTCCTGTCTTCTGAGCTCTGTTTTTGGGCAAGTGCTGCTCTTTTCGTCCTGTGTAGTTGATTAGTTCTGAGGATAACATTCCTCACAGATACTGTTATTCACTTTATACATCTGTCTATTGTTTGGCCAAAAGGTGTTTTACTATAAGCATTAATAATAAAATGTTAGACCTCCCTAGCTTTGTGATGTAAGAGACAAGTTACTTCTTTTAAATTTCTATAGAAAAAAATACAGCTTGTCTTGGTCTTGAGAACATATGAAAAGTTTTGCTAAAAAAAAAAACCTGTATTATTTTAATGCTTTATTTTTTCTGATCATAAATAACCCATACCCTGATGTGTCTGAAGTGAAAAAGAAATATAAATTACATGATTATGTAAGTGTGATGATCTGCTCCTAGATAGATAGATAATAGCAATGTTTTCTTATATATTTCCGAGGTATGCAATGAGTAGTAAGTAAATTTGAACAGTACAGGTGAAAATCCTAACGTATGTATATTACTTTGTCTCCTTGATTCGAGTATGATCATTATTTGACCATGATTAATAAGTCATAAAAATATATAAATATATAAAAATATAGAATACATACATATAGACTATATATATATTATATAATACATAATATAGAAAACATATAAAAATATAGAAAGCAGATGACAAAGTTTCTGTGTTTCTCTCTGTGTGCTTTCTCTCAAGACTGGCACACAGCCTTTTAATCGTGCAATGCTCTTCAATGTGGGTTTCAAAGAGGCCATGAAAGATAGTGCCTGGGACTGTGTGATTTTTCATGATGTGGATCACCTACCTGAAAATGACCGAAACTATTACGGATGTGGAGAAATGCCACGTCATTTTGCAGCAAAGCTGGATAAATACATGTATATGTAAGTAGCGTGTAATACTCTTCATATTGTACAGTATAGTTGCAATATCATATCATTAAAACGGTAGCAGCATGATGTGCCTGGATCTGAGAAAGCTCAAGAGCCCAAAGAGTATCTTCTTTAACTCAGGCTCATCGTCACAGGGGATCAGGACTTAGAGTCACTTGTCATCCATCTAAGTACTTCCTTCCTTGGAGACTTGAGTATGGTGTAGTGGAAAGAGAGGCTGGTTTCTATGGTCAGGCAGATGTGAGTTTAAATTTGGATTCTCACCCTGACAACCATAGGACTGGTTGAGTTACTTATACATATAAAAGCTTTATATATAGTTGGTTTCCTTAATCATTGGAATAATAGAGCCCATGCTATAGGTACTATGGGATTGAATATATTCTGTGCCTAGCATGTGATTAGTACATAATGTGTGTTGATACCCTTGGCTTCCCCTGTCCTTAGTGATGTTTAGTGCAGGGAAGTCCCTCCCTTTTACAGTATATAGTATATCTGCTTCTTCCTAAACTGGTTTCTTGACATGTCTTTAGTAAGACTAAAGAACAATCTTCTCATTCTTTGTGACTGGGGATATCTTGAAATACAAAAAGTCATTGGAGCTGTGACAGTAACTTAAATTGACATTAAAGAGTGCAGGTCTAATCTGGGAAAGAAATCACAATTTTCATCATCTAATAGGAGCTCTGGTAGCATAGTGCCTAAGGCACATGATTGCTAACCAGAAGGCTGGTGGTTCAAATCCACCAGCCACTCCTTGGAAGGAAGGTTGGTCAATCTACTTCCATAGTGATACCGCCTTGGAAACCCAAGGAGGGGTCGCTATGAGTCGGGTCCGACTCAACGGCACACAACAACAACAGCAGCAACAATGGAGTAGAGGGAAGAGAAATGGGAAAATGTTGCCTCCAGCACAGATTTTCCTGGTGACCCACCTCCAGGTAGAAAGAGGCATAAAGTCGTAATGACATGGCCAAGTGAATCTACACAAAAACAGAAAAAGAATGCTGCTTTTCCTGGTCATTGTCAACAGAAAACCCTTTCTTTATTGTCACAGTAACTAAACTTCAAGTGTGGTGTTACCATGGGAGATCATTATGGTCAGGACTATGTTCTTAGCACTTCTAGAAACTTGATTTTGTCAGTCCAGGAGCATCAAATTAGGTTCAGGGTAACTGTCACTAAAAAATTATCACAAAGGTCAGTAAACAAGGGGTGTCCCTGGGTGGTGCAAATGATTTTTCACACTGGGCTGCTAACCTAAAGGTTGGAGGTTCAAGTCCATCTAATGGCATCTCAGAAGAAAGGCCTGGTGATCTGCTTCCAGGAAACAGACATTGAAAACCCTGTGGAGCACAGCCGTCCTGTGACACGCGTAGGCTCACCCAGGGCTGAGTCCGCTCCATGACAGCTGGTTTGATTCTCGGGTTTTAAGGGTGCATTGACAGCTAGTGATACATTTGATCAAATTTACTTTTGCTGTGAAAATGTGTCATTTTGAACACTGGGTTTTGAAGTTTATAAAGTAACAGTACTAAACATTAAATTTTGATTACCACAAATATTTTGTGTTTCATGTAACACATTTAGATGTACATATATCACTGGAATTTAAATGCTTTATTTCTTGGTTGATTTACATTTCCCAGAACGTAGTTTAATCAGTATAATTGTTTATATGGAAAGTAGGAGTACATTTTGCAAAATCTATTAAAAACTGAAACTTGATTTCATATGGCAAACTCTTGTGATTTCATTTTTAGAATGTTTTATCCCTGCTTTCTTTTTCAGTCTTCCATACAAAGAGTTTTTTGGTGGTGTAAGTGGATTGACAGTAGAACAATTTAGAAAGATCAATGGTTTTCCTAATGCCTTCTGGGGATGGGGAGGAGAAGATGATGACCTTTGGAATAGGTATGTTGAGGTACAAATAGTTTAATAATAGCATTTCTATAAAGTTAATTTCTGTTAGGTAAATTACGCCTTTTTATTACAAGAAAAGATTCTTTGGAATGGAAAAATTTTGAGGTTCCTAAATGCTATTTTTTGTTTCTCTCTTTTTTTCCTTAAGAGTATCTCCTGAAATTATTGGCAGCATGTACATCAGCATGTTTTTGCATTTTAAAATTAAATTAATATAATCCATTTTTATATAATCCACTGGTAGCACAGTGCCTAAGGCATTTGACTGCTAACCAGAAGGCGGGTGGTTCAAACCCGCCACCTGCTCCACGGAAGGAAGATGGGGCAATCTACTTCTGTACACATACTTACCGCCTTGGAAACCTAGTTGCGGTCTCTATGAGTTGGTATCAGCTTGGTGGCAGTGAGTTTGGTTGTTTTGGAATCCATTTTTTAGTAGGATCTTATTTCTATTTTGTTTATTATATTGTAGAGTTCATTATGCTGGATATAATGTAACAAGACCAGAGGGAGACTTAGGGAAATACAAGTCTATTCCTCATCACCATCGAGGTGAAGTCCAGTTTTTAGGACGGTAAGTTTAATGTCATCTTCAGATGCCAAAGTCTTAAAGCTTTTAATTCATTAATGGTTAAAAAAAAGTGCATTGCATCTCAAAAACATCTCATGAGTTTTCTGTAAATGTCATTTTTCTTTATAGAAATCAAGCACTTTTTGGCCTTGTTTTGATTAAATACATGTATATGTCTGTGTATGTGTACACATACACACACGTATTTATTATATTAAAGGCCTAGTCAACTACTGTACAAAAGGTGTTTCTTAAACTTAAAACATACGTTTTATTAATTAAGGATGTCTCAGTTGTAAGAGTGCAAAATAATTTTTTAAGTGGCATTTTAAGGCTAGTAATTATTGTTGTTGTTATTTGCCATCAAGTCGGACCTGACTCATAGCGACCTCTCCTTGGGTTTCTGAGGCAGTATCACTACGGAAGTAGATTACCCCATCTTCCTTCCGAGGAGTGGCTGGTGGGTTTGAACCATCGGCCTTCTGGTTAGCAATCGAGTGCCTTAGGCACTACGCTACCAGAGCTCATAATAATAATTTAAAATAATGTGTTAATATTTTTTATTATGTCTGAGAACCAAAAACTGTGAAGAATTTTAAATATTTTAATTATAAGATGACCTTGAGCATATTTGTCAACAACTTTTCTTTTTGAGCATGTTTCTGATACTCTTCCTTTTCTCCTCTAATACTTTAGGTATAAATTACTAAGGTATTCAAAAGAGCGTCAGTACATCGATGGGTTGAACAATTTAATATATTCGCCAAAAATACTGGTTGATAGGTTGTATACAAATGTATCTGTAAACCTCATGCCAGAGTTAGCTCCAATCGAAGACTATTAAAAGAAGTAGCTCTCATGGCCAGATAGACCACAGTCCTGGGTTATCAACTTGGAGTTTACTCTTCATGAAGGTAAAGGAATGGATGTGTCACAGTGCCCTATTCTCTGATGAGAAGACCCAGCAGTTCTCAATGTTTACAGTGTGGGACAGTATCCAGCTAGCCTTCTTCCACTCATCCTGTCTACTTGGAGACACACCCCCATAGCAGTGCAGAAGCCAGGTGCCAGTGCTTGAGATTGGAAGCTAAGAGAGCTCCTTAGAAAAGAGAAAATTTTATACTAAAAACTAATTTACGTCAAGAGAATGCTTTATTTCCGTTTAAACATATTTTGTACATATGTGATGTAAATTAACGTGTTCAAATTGTTGAAAACTAAGATGTGTTGCAGTTTTGCATGTAATTGGTTATGCCTTTATTTGACTTTTATAGGCATTTTTTATTTGCATGGGAAAAACTGTAAATTTTAAGTCACTAAACAAAGGTTAACCCTTGTGTGAAATGAAGGAACTGTCAATAATTGACAGCCAACTAATACAGTAAACTATTCCACTAGTTTTGAGCTATAGACCTTCAGCCTTTTGTATAGAAGTCACAGCTTCCTCAGAGTTTTGAAGGGTGAGAAGAAAGGACTTAAGTAGCTTTTCTTCCTACCAGGATTACCTATTTTTTCCTTGCTTTCAATCTCATCAGATTTTGCTAAATCACAACCATATTGTTTATGCATATTGCATGAGTATTACCAAGAAAATCTTAAAAGTTGTGATGTGACATGATAAAAAGAACCTCTTTATGTTAAATGTCTTTCATGTACCTCTGGTATAAGTGTCAGGGATTCTGTGCCTCAAAAATTGTTCCCAAGGTTGTGTGTGTTTGTACACTGTATTTTTTTCCCCCCAATTCATAGTGAACAGCACTTTTATTATTTCCAGTTTAGATGAGCCAAAAAAAATTCATTTTAAAAATTAATTTTTTAAAAAAAGAATAAGCTATGGAAAGCCCAGTAATACTTATACCAATGGAATATAGTATTAGATTAAAGGTTCTATTTTTATGAAGATAAATGCTTAGTAGATAGAAAATTTTAAGTTTTATTCTCAGAATCATAGAATTTCAGATGTGGAAGGGATTCTTCAGTTTAATTCAAACTTTATATATATATATTTTTTTTACTTTCAAGAAATTACAACTGGTTTTAATGAAAATTTCTTTAATAAAAGCATAATTTAATAGAATTATGTTAAAACATAATTATTTAAATGCACTGATACTTTAATATAAAATGACATGTCTCTGAAAACAAGTCTTACTGCCTAACATCAAATAAATTACTTTTTTTTTTTAATTTGGATGTTTTCCATGACAAAACCAAGGAAAGCCCTTACTTCGAAAATTATCATAGTTAACCAAAGATTAACTATTATAACATATTTTCACAAATTTAAAACAAAACAAATTATAGATTTGTAAAATGAATCTTCAACAACAATGAAGAATATTAATCTATATGTAAGAGATATTTGAGTAACATTTGCCTCATGGATTATTTACCTAACACAGAAGGATGGTTATTTACCTCAGGTTGTAAGTTTAATTTTGAAATTTCATTCTCGATGGCAATACTGGTAACACAAATGACCACAGACCAAATCATAAAATAATTGAAATTCTTACAACTTTGAGAAAACAGTAGTTCTTTTTTATTTTAGGGTACCAAACAGAAATTTTCCAAATTTGTTTCTTAGAAATTTTTTCATAAGTATGTATGTATCTTTCCTTTTTTTTTTTTTTTTTTTGGTGGTACTCAAAATAAATGATGAAAAATCAAGCCTCCTGAAAATTAAGCTATTTGTGTATATTTATGTATTTTTTCATTTTCTGTCTCTCATAGCCATCACACCTTTTCAATTTCAATGAAAGTAGATTGAGAATGTTAAGCTTAAATTGATCACTAACAAGGCGATAGAAGAGGAATGGGAGCATAATTAATTCAATAATACTTAAATATTTTAGTGGTAGGGAGAATTAGGGCTGTTTCTGTGTCTTACTGAGGAAGCATTATTATTGTTATTTTATCTTTTCACAGTGGAGCTGCTTGTGTTTTGGCATCTTTTCATTTTGATACATCTTTTACTGTGTCAGAACTTATTTGCGTCTGCCTGATTCTCTTGGATTGAATCTAACATTAGTTTTTGTGTGGGACATGAGTGTTTTTGCTTTTTTCAGTTTTGAATATGCTATTTCTTCCTGTGAAAACCACTTCGCTAATTTGCCTTTTGTTTTTATGGGTTGTTTGCTTAGTTTTGGTCTTCTTTTGTTTTGGGGTAGTTTTTTTCCTAAGTGCAGACCTAAAATTTATTTTTGCCTATAAATGTTTCCATAATAGTGATGGAGCTTTGCCCAAGTTACCTCCATTGTATGAAAATAATTCTATTCCATAAAAATTAACACACACAGTAAATGCAGATTATCTTCTTTATAGTTATGTTTGGTAGATTCAAATCAGCATGTATTAACTGCCTGCTCAGTCAGTAGGTAGACTGACATACCTAGTATTGGGTACTATGCTAGGTGTGTCTACAGAAAAAGTACTATTCTGTTTGTTAACTAATGAAGTGAAATAAGTCAAAATCTTCCTAAAATTATGATGACATCTCTGATAAGTTAACTATTGTATTTCTTAGTCTCAAAATCAAAAAACCTGTGTTCATAGAATGATTATGATGTCCCTATGACACTACTGGGAAAGTTGACAGAATGCCTTTAGTCTACAGAAAGAAGTAATGATTAATGGGCCTGTTTGTAGGAAAGAAAGTGGGGAAAAGTACACACATTTACTGTAATGTTACGTCTTATTCACAGTAGAGATTGTCCTTTAAATCTTAGCCATAGCTAGGGTTTATGAATATTTTTAAAAATATAAATTTCTGTTTGTATTTTGTGTAAAGCTATTCAATAAGAAAACTTTATTTACAATATTATGTAAATTCAAAATGATGTATTAAAAACTTGCTTATACTTCTTTCCCAGCCAAAATATTGATATCCATTTGAAAGCTAAATGGAAAAATATTCACTATCACATGCTCCTTCTTTTGGAGGCTTCCTACAAGTAAAAGCAGATTTTGTGTTATTTTATCACCTTCGTTTGTCTCTAATATATTTCTTTATGTACTTTTCAGATGAATATTAGTACTGTAGATGTATTGCCTTGGATTTTGTAAGTACGCCGATTGAGAGACCAAAAATGGTCATAGTGTTGTTTATCTGAAAGAGGAAGTGTACTTAAGATAATTTTATTTATTAAGATACGAAAGGCTTCTACATAAATGCACTGAAATAAATGCTAGCAATTTCTTGTACTCTCATATGATTTTTTTTTTTTTTTTGCTTCTCATGGAAATGTTTGTACTTTTTTATCATTGTCTTTTATGAAATATAATGTTCTAAAGACTTTGTGTGATGTAATTATTTTCTCTCAATTTTTTTGGGGTTATCTAATGTTTCTTTGCATTTTTGTTTTTCTAAATTTCTACTGTATTGTTGATGAGCACCTTTGATGGACACTAAGGTTGCAACCTGTATATGAGAGAGCAACGTCTGCTTTTCAGCAGTGTCAGTTAAATATACTTAGAGACCACCTCCTAGCTTCAACCTCAAAAGAGACACTGTAATATTTAAATATTTTCTCATTAATACAGGTAGTAATCTATTGTATCAAAGGAAATATTTAAGAAGTCAGTTTTAACATTAATTTCCTTCTCCTTGCACAACTTCAGTAAACTAAGCTGGTGTCGGTCAGTTTTACTTGTTATTTTTCAGGTATCAGGTAATGTTGAAGATGTTTAAGGCAAACAGTCAAATCTCAAAAATACTTAGATTGTGTATTTTAGTATTTGGCATTAGATTGTGAGATCTTAAAACTTATCAATATAAATTATTTATGTAATGTATTCTAAGTAGTAGTACACATAGTATGCATAGTATATACTACAGGAATATTGTCACTTTATATCACAGATAGAGCCAGTCAGGATCATAAAATAGAGTCAGCTTAGTCTGCACCAGTTTCCTACCCGTGGTCTGAATGTCTTTGGATGAAACATGCTAACTCAGTTTAATGATCTTAGTATTTTGTGGTCTGTCTTTAAACTCGTGGATACAAGGTTGTAGAGATACTCTGGGCTAAAAGTGTCTTATTTAGAGAAGATTGTTGTTAAGGAGAATGCACTACATTGCTCTTGACTTCAGAAAAGATAGTAATTTATCACTCAGCTGTACTTCAATTAAAAGAAAAATATATGGGTGGAAAAATAAAATGTGTATCTTTCTCAACTCATTCCTACAACACAGTTGGTGGTTCTGAATTTCACTGGTAACTTAGTCTCCCCAGTTCCATCAGTTTCAAGTTTGTCTTCTGGAGGATCCCAAACAGGGGCAGAGCTCATCTGCCCACAAAGGGTTTACTGTCTTTTGCATGTAGAACTAATATGGAAAAAACTGAAGAACCACATACCATATGATGCAAACAATTGGTTTTATATTTCACTATTACACTGTTGGGAGCTCTGGCGACATAATGCCTAAGGCATTTGACTGCTAATCAGAAGGCTGGAAGTTCAGACCCACCAGCCACTCCTCAGAAGGAAAACTGGGCAATCTACTGCTGTAGAGATACTGCCTCAGAAACCAAAGGAAGGGTCTCAGTGAATCGCAGTTGACTCCTTAGCAGTGAGCTTGGTTTTATTTCAGGCCCTTAACTATCTGACTTCTGCTTGCTTCTATGGTACCAACACCTCACCTCTCATTTGTATTATACCACTTTTCATTCTCCACAATTCAAATGCATACATTCTTCTTCAGTCTTATATATTCATTGTCCAGCTTTCACATGCAAATGAGGCTATTGAAAATACTGTGGCTTGCATTAGGTGCACCTTACTCTACAAAGTGACATCTTTGCTCTTAAACACTTTGAAGAGGTCTTTTGCAGCAGTTTTGCCCAGTGCAGTGCATTACCTGATTTCTTCACTGGTGTTTCCATGGATGTTGGTTGTGGATCCAAGTGAAATGAAATCCCTGACAACTTCAGTCTTTTCTCCATTTATCATGATGTTGCTTACTGATCCAGTTGTGAGAGTTTTTGTTTTCTTTATGTTGAGGTGTAATCCATACGTGAAGACTGTAGTCTTCGATCATCATCAGTAAGTGCTTCAAGTCATCTTCAGTTGCAGCAAGCAAGGTTTTGTCATCTGCCTATTGCAGGTTGTTAATGTCTTCCAACAATCCTGATGCTATGTTCTTCTGTGTATAGTCCAGTTTCTCAGATTATTTCCTCAGCATACAGATTGAATGTGGTGAAAGGATACAACCCTGATACATACCCTTCCTGAGTTAAACCATCCAGTATCCCCTCCTGTTGAATGACAGCCTTCTGGTTTATGTACAGGTTCCTCATGGACACAACTAAGTGCTCTTCCCATTCTTCTCAATGTTATCCATAATTTGTTATGATCTGCACAGTCAAATGCCTTTGCATAGTCAATAAAATACAGGTATCTTTCTGGTATTTGTTTTCACCCAAGATCCACCTGACGTCTGCAGTGACAGCCCTTGTTCTGTGATCTCTTGTGAAATCGGTATGTATTTCTGGCAGTTCCCTCCCAATGAACTGCTGCAACCATTTTTAAAATTATTTTCAGCAAAATTCTACTTACATGTGATATTAATGATATTGTTTAATAACTTCGATATTCTGTTGGATCACCATTCTTTGGAACGAACACAAATAAGGATCTCTTCTGGTCACTGGGCCAGATAAGCTGTCTTCCAACTTTCATGGCATAGACAAGTGTGCTTCCAACATTGCAGTTGTTTGTTGAAACATATCAATGGATTTTCCATCAGTCCTGGAGACTTGTTTTTTGACAATTCCTTCAGTGTAGCTTGGTCTTCCTCCTTTAATACCATTAGTTGCTGATCGTATGTTTGAATGTTAAATGTTTGAATGTTAATCAATTCATTTTTGTGCAGTGACTCTGTATTCCTTCCATTTTCTTTTGATGCTTCCTGCATCATTCAGTATTTTGTCAGCATAATCCTTCAGTATTGCAACTTGCTTGAACTTTTTCTTCAGTTCCTTCAGCTTGAGAAATGCCAGGTCTTCCCTTTTGGTTTTCTAAGTGCAGGTCTTTGCATATTTCCTTATAATACTTTATTTTGTCTTCTCAGTCTGCCCTTCGAAATC